ACGAAACACGAAACAGAAGGAACTACAATACTGAAGACAAACAAGAACGACAACAGCCACCCAGGGATAACCCAAAGGAACAGGACAGCAGCTTGGAAAGCCATCTGTGCTGCTCCAGCCTGGTAAAGAAAAACACAAAACAAAGAACACTTCTCAAAAGAAAAAAGGGGCTGGAGAGATGGCTCAGAGTTAAGGGCACTGGCTGCTTTTGCAGAGGACCCGGGTTCGATTCCCAGCACCCACATAGTGGCTAACAACCATCCTTAACTCCAGTTCCAGGGGATCTAATGCCCTCTTCTGATCTCTGAGGGCAATGTACCACACAGGTGTACCTCCCTACATGCAGGCATTACACACATACTCATACAGTAAAAATAAATCCTAAAATTATTCCTTTGTGTTTCCTCTCAGACAAGAGAGGTGTGTGGAAGGTCAAGTTTGCACGGTCACAAGTACAAATTCTTAGATGGTGTAACATTGTGGGGTGACAGCCCCCCACACCACCCTAGAAGCTGAGTTCTGTGTACATTTCTAGTGATCGTCATCTATAGTGAGAAGAAAGCCTTGGCCCAGGCTGCTGCTCTGTGGCAGGCAGATGTAATCAGGTTCCATGGGACAGAGAATAAAAACCTAAGGTTACTTGTTAATAAGTGGCCAAAAGACCCACATCTTGTAGGGCACAGAGTGCTCTTTGTTGCCTTAACTCTCGTTTCCTGACAATTTATGCTATGTTCTTCAAAGCACTAGCTGTACACAGTAGTGCTGTGGGGCTGTAATAGCACATGGTCCTGTCAGTATTAGATATTTGTAATTTTCCAACTCAAATTGAGATTTAAAAAAATTATTTTGTTACAAGTGTGTGTGTGTGTGTGTGTGTGTGTGTGTGTGTGTGTGTGTGTGTGTGGCCATACACATGTCATAGCAATCATGTGGAGGTCAGAGGACAACTTGCAGGAGTCAGTCATCTCCTTTCACCATTTGGGTCCCAGGGATCGAACTCATTGTCAGACTTGGCAGCAAGCACCGTTACCTGCTGAGCTAGTTTGTTGGACCCCACATTTTGTTAAGATACTCACTCTCGCTGATGGGCCATCAGAGGCTTGCTGTGGTGGATATACCAGTCTGGCAGGGAATAGGCCACCAGGGAGCCTTTCCTGGACCCGGCTGCAAAGTGCTTCAGTAAATCTCAAAGAGAAAGGGACATAGGACATGGTTTTGTGTTGTATAGAGCATTCCTAGCACCCCATAGGGGAAGCTGTGTGAATTTCCCTGGTGTGGCCTTTGCATGGGCTGACAACTGAGTGTCCTGTTTGGTGCTCAAGCAGAAACATCCCTCACACACCTTCACCTCCTCCCATGCTTCCTCCTCATGAGTGTGGACAGAGCTCCGGGTCCTGAGCTACGTCTACGTCAGTCACCACCACCACTCACTCCCTCAAGGGTTCAGCCCTCCTCTTCTCCAGGGCCCCCTAACCTTCAGCCAGCTCCAGGCTGGCTCCAACCCTACAGCCATCTGACTCTTCTATGCCACAGTTGTGGACCTGTCCCCACCCCATAGCTCTTTCCTAGAGAGCCTGCTCCCTCCAGATTCCCAGATGGGAAATCACCAAGAGGATGTGCCTGTCATTCTGGAACTCTGCTAAGGGGTACTGAGCACAGGCTCCTCCCCCTTCTGTCCCTCCTGTTCACTAATGTCCAAGAGCAGTGAGTGGGCAGAACTGGCTTTGCCAGATGATACCAACAGCCAAACAGTTAACAATAGCCAAGGCCATGGGAGCAACATGAAATGTTTACTCAGAAAATTCTTTCTAAAGTTTTTAAACTTTAAAATCCTTCTGTTGTGACTTAGAGAAAAGCTGGAGGAATGGTATAAATTCCCCTCACCCCTTCACCCAGATTCCGAACCCCTGCATTGTCCCACCTGTGTGGAACTCTGTTTCTTTTCCCTCCCATCTCCCCTTGTTAATACTGCTGTCTACTCAGCACTGTTGAGTGGCATGTCAGGCTGTCCCTTCATCCTCTGCACCTCAGCAGCTACCAACAAAAAATGGTCCTTACATAATCCCAGTGCCGCGAGGGCATTGGCAATGCTTTCATTGAATTTCAGGCCTTGGTCAGATTTGCCAGTTTCTTTACCAACAAAGGCAGGGGCTGTCTTGGTCCTGCCCCACCCGCTACTTTGCCTAGTCAGCCAAATGGTGTGGTGGGAGTTTGGAATGGTCATGTGCAGACTTGATCACCTGTCTTCTAATCCTCTTATGACATTCGATGTAGGGACAATGACAGCCAGAGGGGAGAAAAGTTTAGTATCTCTCAAAGTCACATGTTCCCAAGCCTAGCAGAGACTTCTGGGATGTGGTCCCTTAATCCTCTGACCAATGATTGAAGTCTATATGCCTTCCCCGTCTACTTGTATAAAAGTTAATTCTCATCCAAGATTGTACACATCCCAATCTCCTCAATGGGCCCAAGTTTCCAAAGGTTTGGACAAAGCACATAGATTTCGTAGTAATGCTGGTATGCAGATGAGTTTAGAAACAATGCCCCCTTTTCCTGCTCACAAGCCACCCAGTGCACCGAGGGCTTACCAGGTCTGCCACCTTGCTTAGGCAGCTTCACATACTCTGAGTCTGTTTCCTTTATCCAGTACCTCCGAGCACGGGGCATGTTCCCATTTGGGGAGTCTCCCAAATCACTGAGCCCTGGGATCTGGGATGCTGGTGGGGCACCCAAAGCCTTCTCAGAGCACTTGACAGGTACATGGTAATACCAATCTAGACAGGAGGGAGGCAGGCACAGTATTAGCTGGTGGAGGAGGACACGTGATCAGGAGGCCCTCTATTCCCTGCTCTGTGCACAACACTGGCAGGGCAGCACATGCCACAGAGCACATGAGCAAGAAAGGAGCTGCCAACTCTAAACATGTGTGACAACTTAGAAAAGCACAGGCCACAGTTACATTTCCAGGACCCCCAGGTATGCCAGCCACTGATGCTAAATGGAAGGGACAGCACCTCCTCCTCAAAGCTGAGTGTTCACACCTTCCACTGGTGTACTAGGTCCAGGACTATACAAATTCACAGTGCCTGCCCCATTCCCTATCTTCTTCCCTCTCTTTTCCTCCTTCTCCCATAAAATTCTTAGCTGTGTTTCCTGTGATGTTGGGAAACATGCTGACTTGAAAACTCCCAAATCATTTAAACCACTGTGGATATGTAGAACATCTGGCTAGGTGATGGTCAGGATTTGACAAGCTACATGTATTAAAATACTGATATGTCAGTTCTGTCACAGACACAACAATCTGATCAAACCTGTTTGCCACTTTTACAAGAGCAGAAGGAAGGCGGCCAGGGTGTGGTCCAAGAAGCCTCACCTAGTTAACAGCTGTGTTGGAAGTCACCACCTGCCTCCCACACCCACGAGCAGACAGACGACCCTGTGTCCCGTTGGCAGCCCAGCTGGACACCCAAGCACTACGTTGGAGGCCACAGTGAGCAATTGGAAGTGACAGAGGCCTGGATGGGTGTTAGAAGGGAGACTCACTGGGCCAGAGCAACCACCCATGATGGAAAACCTCCTCGAACTTAAGATTCAGAGACTTTAAGAAAGATGGAGGTGAAGCACAGTGAATGCAGGCTGGGTGATTTCTGTTCTGAGGAGGGAACTGGAGGCAGTAGCTCACAGGACGTCAGAAGAGGAACATTGAGAGCTGGTCCTGTCTTCCCTTCCCAAAGTGACACAAGTCCTAAGCAGAAAGGGAGAGGAGCTGGGCATGGCCTGACAAGGTGACAAGGTGACAAGGCTCACTAGGCTTTGAGCTGAGGGCATCGAGGAGAGGGTCTGTAGTCCGGCTTGCGACCATCCCTGAGACTCCCAGAGTGTGAACTTCTGTCAAGGGCCAAAGGGCCATAGGTGCTTTAGGTTAGTCCGTATCAAAAATTAACCAGATGCCAAAACATAAGGGAGAAAACTATCACATCAACTGAAAAGTTAATACCCCTGAGACAGCGATTCTTGATATAGACGTAACTGAAAGCAAAAATGTGGACTGAGAGGGAGCACATCCGAGGACCTGGCAGCTTGGCCTCTTTCTGTTCTCCCAGGCTCCTGTCAGTTTCTGTTGCAGTGTATTCCTCGAGTTCCGGCCTTGGCGTCACTGGACGATGGACTGGACGATGGACTTCAAAGTGTACGATAAAATAAACCCTTTCTTTCCCAAGTTGTTTTTAGTCATCACCACAAGAGAAAGCACATGAAGACAGGGGGTTTGTGTGGAAGTCAGTGGTTGATGTTGGGATGTCTTCCTTGGTCTCAGTTCTCGATCTTGTTTTGGAGACAAGGTCTCTTTCTGAACCCAGCACTTGCTATTGAGAATATACCAGCTGAACAGTGAGCCCCTGGGACCCATCTATGCTGGCCTTCTGCCCTGAGCTCTGGCATTACAGGAGTGCACAGCCACATCCAAGATTTACATGGGTTTCAGGAGACTGAACTCAGGTCTTCATGTTTGTGCAAGAAACAGATTACCTGAGTCATCTTTCCAGCCCCTGAAGGAAGGGTTTTCTGGTAAAGAATTATGATTGACAAGAGGTGTGCGTGTGTGTGTGTGTGTGTGTGTGTGTGTGTGTGCGTGTGCTTGTTAGTCTCATTCTACACAGAATATATTGGCCCATTTCCTACCCAGGGTTTAAAAAAATATATGGGTATATGTGTGTGTCTGTGTGCAGGTATGTACATATGATTGTAACTGCCTGTGGAGGCCAGAGGGATCAGGTCTCCTGAAAGTGGAGTTACAGGAGGTAGTGAACCGCCTGACATGGGTGCCGGAACTCAGGTCCTCTGGATGAGCAGTACGTGCCCTTAACCTCTCATCCTCTCTCTAGCCCCTGACCTCTCTGGCCGTGATGAAAATGTAATGATGTTCTCTAAAATTCTGAGGAAGGCATCTTCCTGCCAGCCTCATAGCTATAATAAATTACTGAACTGTATTTTATGAAGAGAGCATTGCTTATGTTTAGTTGCAGCATCACTTTGAAGCCAATCAGTGTGAATTCAAAGAGAAGGGTACTCATCCTCTCTCTAGCCCCTGACCTCTCTGGCCGTGATGAAAATGTAATGATGTTCTCTAAAATTCTGAGGAAGGCATCTTCCTGCCAGCCTCATAGCTATAATAAATTACTGAACTGTATTTTATGAAGAGAGCATTGCTTATGTTTAGTTGCAGCATCACTTTGAAGCCAATCAGTGTGAATTCAAAGAGAAGGGTATATGGTGAATGAAGAATGAAGAGGCCTTTAATCAGAAGACACAGCAGACTGCCAGACCTGAAACCCAAGGGCAGGGAAGTTTTCTACAGGCTTTAACGCTGAAAGTCTAATGGCAATCTTCATAGCCCACCTGAGTCAGAACTCCTGAGTCCTTTCTGGTCCTGTGAGTTATGACCAGCCATGACAGGTCCGTATTCTCCTGTGACCTCATGAGCAGCGATTCTGAGTGCAGCTAGAGGTCATAATGCGGTGGGCGGAACTTGGATTTCTCTGGGTGTACTGAGAGGAGGAGAGGAGTGGCACCCTGTGCGATTTCCTGGGATCTAGTGTGTATCTGTGTAGTTCTTTGAGGTTGGGTGTTGATTTACATGTATGCTTTTGTATTTGTGTTTGTGTTTGTGTGTGAGTGTGTATAGGGAGTGTGTGTTTTGTGCATATATGTTTGTATCTGGAAGTTCTCGTGTTTGAGTACAGAAGTCAGAAGTCAACTCGGCTGTTGCTCCTCAGGTAGGCCATTCACCTTATTGTTTCAGACACGGTCTCTCACTGGCCTGCCACTGGCCAAGTAGACCAGGCTAGCTGGCCAGGATCTGTCTGCGTGGACAGTCTGATATTAAAAGCACAGGTGGCTGGCCTGGGTCTTTTTACATGGGTTCTGTAGATGGAATTCAGCCTCAAGCTGCATGGCCAGCAAATTACCTGTCAAACTGTGTCCCCCTCCTGGGTGTTCAGTGTTTGATTTTCAGTGCTTCGGCTTTATTTCTGATTTCTTTGACTGGTTCTGCTTTTCAAGATTTCTTGGGATTTTGTTTTGAATTTCTTCTCCTTGGTTTTCATTCTTACTTCTTTCTTAGTATGTTTCTTTAAAACTTTCCTTTCTCACTTTTTTGGTTTTCTATTGATTTGCTGTCAGTAGTTGCAGAATGTACAATTTACACAGATTCGGCTGTGGTTCCACTTTTTGGGTTCTATTTTTTTTCTTCTTTTGGTTTAAGTTTCAGCTTTCTATGGTTTCTCTGTCTTATTTACTTCTGTTTGGAGTTTCTGTCTTCCTTTTTTTTTTTGCCCTGGAATGCTTGATTGCTCTCACTCCTTTCATTTCTTTGAGTCACTTTATATGTGACTCTTGTTTCTCTTTTTCAGGAAGCATCAGTTGCCAGCATTGGTGAGCTGTGAGCTTCCCACCTTACTGCTTTGACAGCCAGATTTGGTTTGGATTTTCTGGGTCCTGTAAGTATATCCGGTTCTGGTTTTCTGGTTTTTTATTATTATTTTTTTTTGTGGTTAGTTCTTGGTTAGGTTTTAGTTTTCATTCTTGATTTAGCTTTTTCCCTCCCACTTTTTTCATTATGTTCTTTGACTTTTCATTGTGTCTCAATATTTTATTTTACTTTTCAATTTTTATTTTTTTACTTTGCTTTATTTCTTCCTCCTTCTTTTTCAGGGAGCATTGGTAGTAATTGTAGCTGCCATGTCTTCAGTGTGGGAGGAGGAGTTGGAAGAGCCCAGCCCGGTGCCCAGTGCCTTTAAAGAGAAAACCTTCCATTCTCAATATACAGTGTTGAGGACCCTCGGCCAAGGGAACCAGGCAAAGGTCCTGCTGGCCCAACACCGCCTGTCGGGCACCCTTGTGGCCGTGAAAGTGCTTCTGAAAGAGAAGCAGTGGTGCAAGCCCGTGTTCTCCGAAGTTGACATCATGATGATGACTGAACATCCAAACATCATCTCACTTCTACAAGTCGTTGAGACTGAAAAGCGAACATACCTTGTTATGGAGCTGGTACTGGGGCAGGAGTTGCTTCAAGTCATCCAGAAGACTGGTGGCCTGCTCGAGGAGGAGGCCCGGGAAATATTCAGACAAATAGTGCGGTGGGCTACTGCCACGACAATGGGATAGTGCATAGGGATCTGAAACCTGAAAATATAATGATAACTGAGGTTGGAAAGGTCATAGTGCGGTGGGCTACTGCCACGACAATGGGATAGTGCATAGGGATCTGAAACCTGAAAATATAATGATAACTGAGGCTGGAAAGGTCAAAGTACTTGACTTTGGGTTCAGCACCCAAGTGAAGCCAGGGCAAAAACTGAGACATCATTGTGGGTCTCACGCATATGCTGCCCCGGAGCTTTATCTCTTCGACAGTTATGATGGCCCCAAGGTCGACGTTTGGGCCTTGGGGGTGATATTATACTACATGGTAGTAGGTTGTCTTCCATTTGATGCAGTCATTGTACACGACCTTCGGTGGCAAATTGTCAGAGGGGAGTATTTCATCCCTTGTCACCTGTCAAAAGAGTGCCAGGACCTCCTCAGGCTCCTACTGACAGCCAATCCAAGACGTAGACCCACACTGGACGAAGTCGGATCTCATCCCTGGCTTATGAAAGACAGAGAAGACTTACCAGATGACTGGGAAGAGATGGTCCCCAGACAGCCAGACCCAGCCATAATGCAAGCCATGAAAGACCTTGGGTTTCACGCCAAAGATACCAAAAATTCCTTAATTAACAGAAAATTCAACGAGAGCATGGCAACTTACTGTCTCCTTCACAGTCAGGCTCGACAGGAGCATGGGCCCACAAGCCAGGCTCAGCCCATAAATCCAGGGGTCACACCGTTCCCCTCCCTTGAAGACCCTGCTACTTTCAACCTGGCACCAAGGAGGAGGGCAAGTGAGCCTATGTGCAAACAGCTGTGGTCATCCTCCGATGATGAGATGTCTGAGTGGGACCAACAGGCAGGTCAAAGAGGTGGCAGATGTGCAACTGGATCTGCCAATCCTCTTGGTGGCCCCGTGAGGAGGATGCCAATTGGGAGTCCAGCCTGTCAATGTGCCATAAGTGCTCCTTGCCTGTATTCAGCGAGTGGAAAGGAGGGAGGCACCGAAGACCTCCAATCCCACAGCTCATCCCCACACAACCAACCAGTCCCCTGTAGACCAGACCCCAATGTGACTGAAGCCTCCAGCCAAGGCCGGCGCAGAGGCTTCAGGCTCTGGACCCAGAGAATTGGAAATTCTCTCTTGAGACTCTTTTGCTGCCTACCATCAAGGAGGAAACCTCGCCTAGGGCAGAACAGAGTCTCCCCTCAGAAATGAGGGGACAAGGGAAGTCACGAGAACACGTAGCAGGCACGATGCAAGTATGTCTGGTCTTCTTCCTTTTCAGTTTGCATTGAGCTTGTCAGAAGTCCATTGCTTGTGACAAGACTCTTGTTTTCCCAATCAGTGTAGCACAGTTCTGCTTTCTAAGTACTTTATGATTCTTCCTCCATCCCAGGCTTCCTGTGTCCTCCCACTTCTCTCCCGACAGGGACTCAACAGCACTACTGTCTGCTCAGCTCCAACAGGTTCCTATGCTGATCCCATCCTCTAGCCTGGGCTCCACCTCCTCCCTAAGCCAGCAGCTCCTCTGAGGTGGGAACTATAGAGCCATGTGCTCAGGGACCTTCCACCAGTGTCAGGCCCCAACACAAGTGGCAGTCAATCTCAAGAGCTGCAGAACAGAGTTTTAAAATTTGCAAATGCAATATAACATTCTTGAGTCTTGAAATCTATAACATGGAATTAGCCAACAAGTCTTATACTGACCATGAGTAAAATAGAATTTGCTGGTTACTTAAAATTCTCCTTCCTCCCACATGCACACAGTCTTTCCCAAACTCATTATCCTTTTGTCCATAAGACCTAGTGATATTTTTATAGAATTTGTAAAAAGATTTCTGTCTTTTAAAAAAACATCCAATTTTTATGTGTATGAGTGTATTATCTGCATGGGTTACACCCATGTGTTATGCTTGTCATGCAATACCACTCGAGGTCAGAAGAGGGAGTCAGATTCTCCTGGAAGTACAGCTTCGGATGCTTTTTAACTGCCATGTGGGTGTCGGGAATAGAACCAAGGTCCTCTGCAAGAGTAGCCAGTGCTCTTAACTTCTGAGCCATCGCTCCTGTCCCTAAAGATTTATTTCAAAGACCAAGTTAGAGAAGAAAAACAGTAAAGTGTGAAATAATAGTAAGTCAGGAAAAAGCCCAAAGAGGTATTCTGCGAATTAATTTACATAATTTGTTATTTCATTAGCCCAGAACAAAACTAACATGTCTTCTTCCTTTTATTCTCTCTTGGAAATCCTGTCTTGTGCTGAATTGGAAGAGAGGGTGACATCAGACAAACGGCTCAGGAGAGGATTCAACAGCAGCAGCAACAACTTCCTATTCCTGTTCTTCCCGCAGGAATCACTGACTGGCTGTTTAAGTGTCAGCAGACTCCTGGAACCAGAAGCCTCACCACCAGAATTAGGGAAGGGTTCAGTTTAACTGAGCATTAGTACTAACAGAAGAGACAAAATATTCTCTATAGAACTAAATTTCTCCCTGACAGAATGCGTGGAGGGCACAGGGATGCTGCCTGCTTTTTCCTTGTGGGGAACAAGTCCTCCACGCTGACACATTAGAATGTGTCTTGTCTAAGTGCAGACACAGATCATGTATGAACCTTAGTGGCACTGCTGAGACTGAGCCCTCCACTCAGTTGTGGGGCTGCTGGACAGGACTGTCAAAAGAGGGGCCATGAAGTGTGGCCACCCCCAGAGGTAGGGCTTCCCTTGGCCATGTCTTCTCCCAGGCCGTCAGCCTAGAGGGCAAACTGTGCAGTAGACCTGCCCCTCATGGGCCTATCCTGTTGGACCTGCCGCTCAAGTTGGTGAAGCCTGACTCCCAAATGCTTCTTCGATGGGCCAGGCATGAACAAGTTCGTGACAGAAGGGCTGTTGGGAACCACAGGAGATTGGACACAGCAGCAGCGCTGGTGGGCAATTCTCGGATTTGCCTATTGATAAGCAGAGACCATGTTCACCAGTGCTGCAAGAGTTTTGAATTTGTCCACGTGGTCCCCTCACTGTGCCTGAGGGGAATTTCACCCAGCACTTGCACACTGGGCAGAAGCAATGCAAAGGCCTTGGCCTCACTTCAGTTGATGGACTGGATGAGACCCAGAAGTCACTGAGTCCCTAGACATGTTGGAGGTACAAGCAGCCTAGCGTGCTCCCGACAGTGGGAATGACTGCCCAGCAGCCACTGTGGTCCAAAGGGAAATTCACCAGAAGTCGGGGGCAGGGTTCCCTTCAGTCTGCTCAGGTCAACGGCTGGCATTGCATAAATAAAGTTACATGTCATGTGATTAAGGTTAATGGTAGAAAATTTAGTATTTACATTTACATGTTTGGTGAAAGTTTCATATTTACACTTAAATATATCGTCAATAATGGATGCCAAGGAGGTGAGGAAATGCAAATTGCTTCATTTGGGGGATTGGTCTAGACGTGTGTTAAAGCTCCAAAGGCAGTTTTGGCCAGGAATTCCATCTCTGGGAATCAAGCCCTAGAAAGCTGAGCTCACTGCAGAGAGAGGGACATGGAAGGATATTCAAATAGAGTTGGGTGAGAGAGAAAATACCAGAATGTTCCATGGGTGGCAGCTGTTGACTGGACACAGAGTACACCCAAATGGGACCCCGTGTATCACCTTGGATGCAAATGTTCTGCATCTTTTAATAGAAGACATGTTAACCATGTCTTACTAAGTGGAAATGCAATTTCTACGTGCCTGGTCCAATTCTGAGATTCTCTCTCTCTCTGTCTCTCTCTCTCAACATAAAAAGATGTAGATTTGAGCTTCTACTCCATAACACTTCATCTACCATTTTAAAGTGACTCTGTGGCCCTCATGGGTTAAATACATATTATTCCCAGGGTTTGTCATCAGGGCCCTTGGTAGGAAGAGAGCTCAATATGTGACTGTCCTGGATAGTCCGTCTGCCAGGAGTGTCACCAAGCACCAACACCCAGAGGAGAGCAAGGCACCCAGAGAACACACTGGACATATGTGTGACTGTTCCTGACTCTAAAAGTCCCTCCCCCAGGAAAGTAATGGAGGCTTGCTCTAGGAGTGCAAAGATGATCACTGCACACAATACACTAAGAAACCCTGGCACACATATGGTGGAGGAATGTGGGAAGCGAGCACAGCTGAGTCAGCCAGATGGCGCCCTGGCTGGCTGCCAAACCTTGTGCTGTTTACTCCAACTCTTGGCTGATTGCCAAGGCTCGCGATTCCCGCTTGTTTATCAAAAGTATAAGCCAACACAGGTGCTGCCAGCCTAACGATCTTGCTACATGCCTATGAGCTACACTCTGCCTGGCCGCTGCACGTGTGTAGCCCTGATTGATACCGGCTGGGGGGAGGGCTGTTGGAAATGCTATATAAAGAGCTGAAGTGTGTAATAGA